TAGTGAGGATATGGACTTATATGGACTTAGAGGGGTTTGACAAAGAGGCCCTGCAAGCCTTTGTGGTGGATAGTGATACAAGTGATACAGGTGAGGGCCAATAATCTGCCCTCTGCCTCGGAACAAACCCCCCATCCCCGTGTGCCCAGCCATCTTTTCTACTAATGTAAATGTTAAAAAACCCAATATTATTGATATTTCTCTTAATTATTAATTGTGTGTGCATACCATCATAAAATTAAGAAGTTATTTTTACTACAACGTAGGTATTGTGTCTGAAAAAGTGGAGTTTGGGGGTCGGCCCGGTCTCTATTTCAATTAATCCCATATGTTATGTTGTTCACTTTACGCGTTTCTCACTTTACGCGGGCCGCCATGGGTTCAGTTGACCTCGTAAAGTGAGGGTTCACTGTATGTGAATAATGAAAGTAAGAGAATAGAATAGGAAATATTTACAGAAAGGGCGGTCTGAGGATCCTTAAAATACATCGTTAACTGCCCATATCTCCAGCTGTTCTTGATATATTGACATCTACATACAGTGAACCCTTGAAGATCTGGACTAAAAAGAGGGACCACCTGTCCGGAAAAGCCGATTGTCCGAATCTTTCTGCGAATGTAGTAAATGTATAAAAATGATAAATAATGATATAAAAACACCAAAAATACAGTCCATATTATCCTGACCACTGGGGTTAGTTATACAGACTTTTTCCTGTGAAAAAGCCATAATTTTGAGCAACATATTACTGTACTCAAATGTATTAGACTAAGGGACTAAAATGTTTATCTTTTTTACAATATATGTAATGTCTCTACTCAAATTATTTGCTGTCTTGCAAGGATTTCAGCAGTGCAAGTTATATTCTGCTAAGTTTAGTCTGTGAAATTTTATATGATAGAAACTTTAAGCCTAAAACTACCTTCACCCATGGGGTAAGGGGAGGTGATGTGTTGAGAGCCAGGCAGGGGGGTGAGGTGACGTATTGACCAGCCGACGGCAAAGGTTACCTAGTGGTATTTATTTATGTCATGAAGGTGGAGTTTAAGTTCTTTGCTTATAAAATGTCACTGAAATGACTTGGGAGAATACAGTTAAAGTCCAAAAATCCGGATGCCAGAAATCCGGACCACCCGAGAATCCGGACTCTTCGAAAACTCATTTTTTTTTTTTAGCGGGCTTTTGTGTGTATGTGCGCATGCGTGAGCGCCACAGCTGCACAGCGACAACAAGCGACCACGTGGTCGCCACTTTAAAACTAACAATCAAACTGTGACAACATACCGTATATACTCGTCTATAACCCCCCCTCGTTTATCGGTCAACCCTGATTTCTTGACCAAGAAATCGTTAATTTATGATATTCCTTGTTTATAGTTCAACCCACGTTTTTGAGGGTAATGGAACAACAAAACCTTCAGTAAAAACGCTCTACGTCCTATAAACTGAGGCTCGCCATGCCTGAAACACGAGTGCCGAAGGCAAATTGTTTACCATTTATTATTACGACACTTTACACTGAACGCGGGTAGTTTCAACAAAAATATTGTATATTTCCATTCAAGTATTTATTCAAGTCAATTAGGAGGGAATATTATTGTAATACAACAGTTTTTTAACTAAACCATTCGAAAAGCGATTACGGTAACATCTTTTGAATGAAAGAAAGCGAAAGTCATTGTTTTCGTCACGATTTTATCCCACTTTCCACTGTAATACGTATGTAATTTCAGCAAAAATATTACATTTCCGTGAATGTATTATATCAAGCAAGTATGAATAGAATATCATTGTAATATAACAGAATTTTAACCGAAAACTATCAAAAAACGAGTAACATCTCAAGAACATCGGAACCTTAGGTAAAGTCTTTTGTTTTCGTCATGTATTTTATCCTATTTTACATTGAAATACATCACGTTTCAGCAAAACTACTATTTATTTCCGAGAATATATTCATTCAGGCGCAGTTTAGGTAAAATATACGTGTGATGTAATAGTTTTTAACTGAAAACGATTCGAAAAACACGTACCCTCTAGCCCTGTTCAAGGAGAGGACTGGGAGAAGCTGTTTGGTGCTGCAGATGATGACAAGGAAAATGATTTTGATGAATTTTAATGAAAATATTCAGAAATATGGTATCGTAGTACAGCTAGACCCCGACTTACAACGGGGTTAGGGACCCAAATCCAGGTCGTAAGTCCGAATGGTCGTAAGTCCGACAGATAAAAAAAAAAAAAAAAATTTAATAAAAAATCTACAATGAAATACAGTACAGTAAGAGTAATAAATAATGAGGAATGGATACAGTGTGACTGAGCACTTACCTTTAATGTAGTCAGCTGAATGCACATGGGGCCCCCATAATTTTCTAATTATACATGGAGACTACATTAACTGGAAACGTTTCGGTATAGAAAATGCATGCGTCATTTGAAGAAAAAAAAAATTTGGAAAAAAAAATGGTCACAACTGCGGCGGTCGTAAGTCCCGACGGTCGTAAGTCGAAGCAGTCGTAAGTCGGGGTCTAGCTGTATTTATTCAAGTCAATTAGGATAGAATATTATTGTAATACAACAGTTTTTTAACTGAAAACCATTCGAAAAGCGATTTCGGTAACATCTTTTGAACGAAAGAAAGCGAACGTCATTGTTTTCGTCACGATTTTATCCCACTTTCCACTGTAATACATACGTCATTTCAGCAAAAATATTACATTTCTGTGAATGCATTATATCAAGCACAGTATGAATAGAATACCATTGTAATATAACAATATTTTGAGTCCTACTCTTTCCATTTACAGAATACTGTACAAGCCCATAATAATGGCTCCTAAAGTAGATAAACTTCGTTGTGTGAAGAGAAAGAAGAACACGTTGAAATTGGGTGACAAACTTGAAATAATTAAGAAACTAGAACGTGGTGTGAGCAATACTGTTCTAATGGAAACATACGACATTGGAAAGTCTACAATTTATGATATAAATAAGGCAAAGAATAAAATTCTAGAATTCACAGCTTTTTCATGAAAACTGCTCGTTTTGATAAATGAAGCATGCTATATTTGCTAATGAATAAACTATCAAAATGTACCTGTTCATCTCTTCTTTATTCCTCCTTAAATTTGAATTTTAAAAGTACTGCCTGAGAATAAGGAAAATCCGAAAATCCGGACCGACCCAATCCCAAGCAGTCCAGATTTTTGGACTTCTACTGTATAACTTACATTACTGGAATGTGTGTACGATAGTGATTAATTTGAATATAAACATGCTATAGTTTGCACTAGACATAAAAATCTTAGTAATTATTTAGTACATTTGAGTACAGTACAGGTTTGCCCCTAGGACAATTATTTCTTTTACTTTTTCACAATGTATTTAGGATGGTGTGTGCATGTAAATGAATAAAATAAATGAAGAAAATTACGTATATCTACCCAAAAATACGAGTTGAATAACTTGTACTTAAATGTACTACACTAAAGGACTAAAAATTTTATCTCGTGCAAAATATGTAATGTCTACAGTATATTCAAATTATTCGCTGTCTTGCAAAGATTCCAGGATTCCAGCAATGCAAGTTATAATTTCTGACAATTTTAATCTGTGGCATTTTATAAGATAAAAACTTAAAGCCTAAAACTACCTTCACCCTGTTTTGGGGATGCTTCTTAGGGAGGCTTCTTAACCCAGAATCCCCAATTTTGTTGTCCGAATCTTCCGAAATTCGGATTTACCGGGTCCGGATCTTCGAGGGTTTACTGTATATCTTAGTTAATATTTCCTTTTACCTAATAAGGATAAATCCAGGAATTTTTCAAGGAGGGGAATGCACCCACACAGAATAGTACAAATATGTAGGACCTGAAAGAGTATTTACAAACAGTATTATGCAGTACCGGTATGTGTCAACACCACTGTTTTAAGTTTTTGCTGTTTATCTAGACTTAATTTAATGAAGAAAAATGTATAAACAGGGGCTCTGCAGGTATTACCATTTCGATGGCTTTATTCAAAGGAAGAACTCACAGGGGATTTCCTTTTACTATATACTGTATAGTGCTCATGCTGTTGAATTCCAGAAACAAATCTTGGCCTGTTTCACTTGCTATTTGGTTATGCAGTACAGGTAGTTATGTTTTGTTTGTTTTGCAATGTTGTCACACACATACGAGTACACATACATTTATCCCTTGCATTATAGAACGGATTCAGTCTTGTAAAGTTTCACATTAATATGAAATTGTGTCAGACTTGTGCATTTTTAATAAGATGTTGACCTTCAATAATTAGTTTTCTTATTAATATGTGTTTAAAAAGATTTATTATATGTGTGATTTTATAATGCTTTATGGAAGTTAAAAGGAAAATTAGGGTTAAATTTGGGACTTTCATATTCCAGGAAGCTTTTCAAGGGTATGACTCTACTTAGTGATAAAATAGGTAGTGTATTTTAGACCTTAATGACAGGATAGATGGTGTGTTATTGGACATAACCCTCTGGTACTCCTGCCCACGGTGGTAAATCTCACCACTTCGCAGTCTTTCAATGCAGGTTGCGTCGGTAACAGGAAATTTTTTTTTCCATTTTATAAATATTGGGTAAAGTGATCCAGACCCAAATAGCACCCTTAGAGATGTATCTGCCAGTCCACAAGACCTAGTGGAGGAACTTTGATGGTTGATAGGGAAGGTACATTGTTCCTACATTTCTTCTTACGGCAGGGGTGCTCTCAGTGTAAGTTACAGCTGAGTGGGAGGGGATTGCGCCAGCACGGGAGTGCTTAGCAATGCAATTTGCATCAAAAGACCACGAGAGGGTTAAGGATAAGATGCATGTTTTATTTAGACCTTAGTAATCGTATAACGTGAGTCAGTGAGTGAGTGGATGCCAAAATGTTGGGACAGATGGTGTAACTGACCTATTGGTATGGACTGAATCTCTTGTTTCAAGTCACCAGCTCTTGTTTCAAGTCGCCATCTCTTGTTTCAGGTCACCATCTATCACATCCTGAAATTGTTTCAGTCGCCACCTGGAACCACTCCAGCTGCAGTGCCAAATGACTTCAAAAAGCCTCTAGTGTCTGAGTTCTATGAAGAGCTTATATTCCAAGATCCTTCAGCTATGATGAGGCAGTTGCTCACCAATACAAGACAACTCACTCTGGGGGAATATAAACATGACACGGACTGTAAGTTTTTTAAGAGTATATTATCTGATAAGCTATAATTATATATAGAGTATTTGAAATATTTAATTTGACTGTAGTCTACATATGAATATTTTTTTTAAACATGTATTTTTGCAAAGCTTAATCTTGGTCATCTTTATTTTTATTTCTGTATTTGTAATTTGGAATGCTTGACTTAAGAATAGGAAGTACAGGTGTACAGTGATCCCCACTTTAGTGAGGTACAGTATTATGTCATAATAGTTGCTGTGATGTAGCCAAACCACTTTTCTCATAGAAGTTAATCATGGATTAACATAGATTCATTTCATCTCCTCTCCTACCAACTCCCTCCTACCCATCTGAATGCAAGATAGTTTGTCTGTCTTCACTGAAGGTAACCTCTTGTCGTATGATTACTGTATTTATTAACCTCTGTTTTCTGTTTTCAGTTGAAGAAAAGAAAGAAAAGACTCTGAAGAATTTGTTAATTGCCAAGGAAAAGATAGCTAATGAAATATTGGACCTTCGAGAGAAGATAAAACTTGCCAAGGACACCATAACTAAGTTTAAAGATGAGATTAACAAGTCCCAAGCAGATGTACCTGTAGATGTTTCAGGATTATCATAGAATTACTAACGTTGTGTGCAGTGGTACATGCCATGGTAATATTGCATCTGTCATGCACATTCTCAGCCTAGAAGTACCTTTGAATAACCAATTTCATTTATTAAAACCTGTAACCAACAAAAAAGTTAAAAACCTCATGTCTAAAGACAGCATAAGTAGTGCATCAAAGTACTGTACCTTTACAATTTCAGTGGAACAATTCAATAATTGGGAAGTTGTGACAGTCTTTTGGGTGACTTATGATCACTGCCAAGGAATGTGTGAAGTACCTAAACCTTTTCATAAGATACCAGTAGTAAGTAAATAAATCGACATACCTTGTCTGTCAAGAAATAATAATTTGTAGATCTGTGATCCACATTTTCCATCATGATTAATTTGTGAATGCTCTGCACATGCTGTGGATATTTAAGGCCTTCAGAAACGTAATTTTGTGTCAGGAAAACATTCGTCTCCCGCCCACAGTTTAGTAACACTCAACTCAAGTCACTAATCAAGACCACTCATGGTTCAGTTCACTCACCGGTTCAGTTCACTCACCATGGAAATTGCATAGCTATGAGACAAGAGTGAGGCAAGAGATGATTACAGTGATATGAGTTAAGATACTGTACAGTCATGAACTATAGGAAATTCCCCCAAATTTAAGCAGTCTTTTTTGTACTCACTCTTTTAGGCACGACTCTGATTTACAAACTCACCCATGAAAGGGTTAAGGATGTCAAAGTAGTTTAATGTTGAGATTGGTTTGTAATTAGATATTTGCAAGGAATAGTTTACCTAAGGAGATGATGAAAAATATGAATGAGAATAGTGAAAACTATTTATATTACATAGCTACTGTATATATTTACCAAGTAATTTAGGTTTTATCATACATTTAATGATATTTTAAGCAATTGATATGAATATTATTTACAGTTTACAGAAAAGGTAAAGCATGCCCTTACAATTCGCGGCCTTTGATTGTTCGCGGATGACACCCTGGATGTATCCAAGGATGTCTGCAGGTAGTTTTCAAGTTGGCAACATTTTCACGGCTGGGACAGGGAGCCTGCGAGTTTTTTACGTTCCGTAAGGTGTCTCTCTTGTCCCAGGTGGCTAGGCCATGTGCGTTCACTCTGCCTCGTGACAGTCCGGGTTAAATACTTGTCCTTTGCACGTGTGCTACTCTGTTCTCTTAACATCAGTGCTCCTTGTGCTTGTAACGACTCCTAAACGCCCTCTATCACCTTCATCCTGCTTTGGGAAGGTCCCCAAACAAGTGAAAAGAGAAAAGGTCGTGTATTTCTCCCATACGTACGCCTGGCAACGGGAGCGGGTAAGGGGAGTGAGTGACTGCCAGTTAGCTCGTCATTTGCAGTTGTAACTATCCTCACTCCCTGCCATATTTCACTGTTTACTGATAGACTAGTGCTTAATAGTGATTAATCTTGGCATTGTAGCTAGGTTAGCTCATCATTGTAACCACCAGGCTACTGAGCCAAGCTGTGAGGTGTTATGGTTTCTTCAACTCGTTTTTGCAGGTAGATATACGTAACTTTCTTCATTTATTTTTACTCAGTTACATGCACACACCTTCCTAGGTACATATTGTGAAAAAATGTAAAAGAAATAATTGTCATAAGGGCAAACACGTAATGGGAGGAGAGCGCCGAGTGCAGCTGGTGGAGAGCATAAATAAACAAATAAATACTTCACTAGACCTTCGGCCCCAACTGTCAAACATGTCACTGTCACCTCTCCATCCTCCCTCCCTCCCTCCCAGCCAGGGTTTGGTGGTTGTAGGCTTATAGTGTTTTATCTTAACTACTATCACAGACTAAAGTTAGGAGAATATAATTTGTATTGCTAGAATCCTTGCAAGACAGCGAATAATTTGAATATAAACGTCATTTTTGCACAAGAGATAAAATTTTTAGTCACTTGTAATAAATTTCCTAATTAGAACTAAAATTTGTAAGTCTAATGCGAACTATAGCATGTTTATATTAAAATTATTCTCTGTCTTATAAGAATTCCAGCAATGTAAATTATATTCTCCCCGGTCACTTCTGTGACATTTTATAAATAAACACAAAAACGCAATCTAAAGGACATAAATAAACAAATAAATACTTCACTAGACCTTCGGCCCCAACTGTCAAACGTGTCACTGTCACCTACCCCCTCCCAGCCCGGGTTTATTGGTTATAGGCTTTAAGTTATCTTATATAATATCACGGACTAAGGTTAGGATAATATAATTTGCATTGCTAGAATCCTTGCAAGACAAAAAATAATTTGAATATAAATGTAAATATTTTGCACAAGAGATAAAAATTTTAGCCCATTGTAATAAAATTAATTAAAACTAAAATTTTTGTCTATTGCAAACTATAGCATGTATATATTCAAACTAATCACTATCTTATAAGTCACCCTTAAGGACGGATTAAATAAATAAGCACTAGACCTTGGCATCAACTGTCAAGCATATCACCTCCCCCCATCAAAAAAAAAATTCCCTTCAGCTGATTGCCAGTAAACAGACCATTTCACGTCCCATAATTTTAGCTGTGTTGATTTATGAGTGTTTATTTTAACATAATACTACAAAAAACAATGTTTTATTTATTCTAAGAGATGGGCTGAGGTGCATCTGGCTAGATGCAGTCTTTTTATTATTTTGTGTTTCTCTCAAGTATACCAAACTAAATTATTCCATTGAAACAACACTTCGATTGAATGCGAATTCGGTTTAAAGCGACCTCTCTTGGAACATATCTCGTGTTATATTGACATTATACAGTACATTTCTTTGCACCCGAGCAAAAATGTAACCCCTTCTCCCGGTCAGCAAATGATATTTGTGGTTTTGGCATTTTATGGCCATTTTGAGACCCCAAACCCCCACAAATTTTAAGGGCATGATGTATGTGGACATGCTCATACATGCACACAGCCACCATTGTGTTAAGAAATATTCTTTTCCATACAATAGGTAGCATATGTAGGGTGGGATTCTTATGTTTATGGGATTTGATAAAAATACATGCACATTAACAAATAACATTTTATCCAGAATCAATGGTGTAATTCATGTAATAAAATTTCAGTAGTACAGTGTACTTTCAAACTTAGATCTACATCCTTAGTACAGTACCATATTACATGTTTTAACTGAAATTTATTTATTCAGTAAGTTTAATTAAATTGAGGATGTGACACCTCATAGAAACTTGAAGAGTTTGTTAAGGTTATTAGTTGCACCTTATAAGATAGATGTCTGTCATTTATATGGTTGTCACAATCGAAGAATGTGTCAATATTTGAAATATTTAAGTCATATATACTGTACTGTACTAACAGTAAGACATGTTCCCTTTTTTTTTTTTTACTTGACTCCTAAATATTGTATTAAAAAATAAACACAAAAATATTTTTGCAAATACAGTACATGTACTGTACTGTAAACTCAGTACCAAATTAGATTTAACCATACTCTGTACAGTACTCAGTTTTCAGAGTACAGTGTTCCCTCGGTTAACGAGCGCCTCAGTTAACGAGATTTCGGTTAACGAGTTACCTTCCATAAGATTCTTAACTTCGGTTAACGAGCAATCCCTCGATTAACGAGTTTTTTACGAGCCGACCTCAACATGTTTTCGCTTGCATTTGGCGGTCCACCAGCTGTAGTATAAGTCCGCCAATACAGTAATCAGTTTTAGGACTTAAATTCCTTACTATTTTAGTAAATATCAAGAAGTTTATACTATTCAATAATTTTAAAAGTTTAATATTAATTTTTTTAGTAATTTTAACAATTATTGAACATAAATGTAGGTAAGGAAACTAGTTTCATGTGCGCCATCCAGCTTGGCAACACACCAAATAGGCGCCAGTCTCTCTGTCTTTTCAGTGGAGATAACATCTTGCTTCAGACTCTCTTCAACTAAATGCTTTTTTTCTGTGTTTGCAAGCAAATTATTGGTCTTTTTGAAATTTATTTTACATATTGACAATATATAATGCAGTGTAGTGTTGATTTAAAGAAAATAATCTTGAATTACACCAAGAGAACTAAAATTTTATGGGTGAAATGGCACCATGGGGTGACTTTTCTTCCACCCCAATGCCTTCTCTTCTCCCTTCTTCTCCACCCCCATTCTAATTCCCATCATCATCATCATCCAGGAGCCTTCTACATACACACCTCAAAGTAAGTGTACTTTTCTACCTCTTTTGTTGAATTTAGGCAATTTTCGGTGAGCTGGAACCAATTACCCAAAAGCTCATTGAAACAATGGTTTCGGTTAACGAGCAACCTGCTGGAACGGATTGTGCTCGTTGACCGAGGGACCACTGTACTGTATCATGAAGTTCAGAATAAATAGTTAAAAAATTATTTTATATGGTATATATTGGAAACTCTATCTTTACTATGTAAACACGTTAGTTTTCACTTCGCGAAAAATATCATTTACGTAAAAAATTCGCCTGACCTTAATACCTTAGTTTTTGGCACTTGGGGTAAAAAAAAATAGATTTTGTTTCAATTTCATACAAAGGTGCTGCTTTACATGCTGATTATGAATCTGGGTTCACAATTTAAAAAATTTGAGTAATTAGTGTTAATTAATGACCTTTGAAATAATTACAGATATTTAAAAAGTCAATTACAGTCGACCCTCGTTAATCGGACTGATAGGGTGGGGAAGAGTGTCCGTTTTAGCCGATTGTCCGAATTAACCGATTTAGGGGTTAATATTGCATTATATTTCAAAGAAAATGCAGTGAGTGTGTCCTTAGCCTTGCATACCGTATATACTCGTTTATAGGTCGACCCTGATTTTTTGACCAAGAAATCGTTAATTTATGATATTCCTCGTTTATAGTTCGACCCAAGTTTTTGAGGGTAATGGAACAACAAAACCTTCAGTAAAAACGCTCTACGTCCTATAAACTGAGGCTCGCCGTGCCTGAAGCACCGAGTGCCGAAGGCAAATTGTTTACCATTTATTATTACGACAATTTACACTGAAACGCGGGTAGTTTCAACAAAAACATTGTATATTTCCATTCAAGTATTTATTCAAGTCAATTAGGAGGGAATATTATTGTAATACAACAGTTTTTTAACTAAACCATTCGAAAAGCGATTACCGTAACATCTTTTGAACGAAAGCAAAAGTCATTGTTTTCGTCACGATTTTATCCAACTTTCCACTGTAATACGTACGTAATTTCAGCAAAAATATTACATTTCCGTGAATGTATTATATCAGGCACACTATGAATAGAATATCATTGTAATATAACAGTATTTTAACCGAAAACTATTAAAAAAACGAATAACATCTCAAGAACATCGGAAGCTTAGGTAAAGTCTTTTGTTTTCGTCATGTATTTTATCCTATTTTACATTGAAATATATCACGTTTCAGCAAAACTACTATTTATTTCCGAGAATATATTCATTCAGGCACAGTTAAGGTAAAATATACGTGTGATGTAACAGTTTTTTAACTGAAAACGATTCGAAAAACACGTGTACCGTCTAGCTGATACTCAACAGCTGGTGGTGCGTCATGCGTCATTGTAAACAATAGGAGGTTGAAGTAGATTAACGGGTATTATATTAAGTGTGAAATATCGAAAAGGTTTTTATTACCGGTATTTTTTGTAGATCAATGAGAACTGTGATACCGTATATGATATGATAAGTTAGCCTGTATTAAAAACTTCAACATAGACTACTGAAAACACGTAAGGTAATTTAGCCTATTGTAAGTTGGTGAGCTTCATCTGCTGAAGGAACTGCACAACGTTTCATTACTAATTGGTACATATTTTACGTTTCCATTGTTTACTGGCAGTAAATGGTAAATATTTTTCATGTCTGAAGCTAAAAGTTGCATCCCCCCCCCCCCAACACTAGTGGTGGAGATGTTACATTTAACCAAAAAGACGCTGGTGTTTTATCCCAGCAGTGGGTGGACCAGAATTTTAGCTGAAGGTCCGCATAGGTAATATTCCAAAAAAAAATAAGATTTTGTCCGAATTATCCGAAATCCGGATTAAAGGGGTCCGAATTAACGAGGGTCGACTGTACACTATACCCGTAAGTTTTAAATCACCTTTATATGCATTTTCTTAAAAGTATAGACTATTTTTACTATACAGTATAAACACGTTAGTTTTCACTTTACCCAAAAATATTTATTTACGTCGTCAAAAATACGCCTGACCTACTACAGTATGCAGTACTGTACTGTATTTACTTTTATCATTCTTAACTGAGTTGAGATGGATGAAATAAAAGGACAATTTCAATGCAGTGCCACAATGGATGGAGAAGAAGTAGAGGTTGAGAATGAATTTAAGTACAGTACAGTACTGCACATTACATGGGAGCAATATTAGACAAAGATGGAAGCAGATAATTTAAAATTAATGAGAGGAAGATTAATTGAAGACTTGAGAAGGTGTACAAATGGTAGGAATTTGAGAGTAGATTGT